AACTCACCAGCAGTCCGGCATACTCCTTCTCGAAGCGATGAAGGCGCTTGGCGGGATCCTTTGCCTGTTCCTGGCGGGAGCTCCCGGAGGAGAGAGGGCTTAACAAGCGCGACCACTGCAGAGGCAAAGACGGGTTAGATAGGATGATCTCGTTTATCCGCTCAAGCTCAGCTCAGCTCAGCTCAGCGTTGGGGGCTCCCCTGATCACGGGCTGCTCACAAAATCCATGGCGACGGCCGAGTCATCTCTGTCCAGCGAGACAAAGTTACGAGGGCACAAGCCTCTGAGGCGCGGGGAGGGTCCGATCACAGGCTGCGGGGAGACGTGTGGTGGATTTTTGGCGATGCCAGCACAGAACGAGACAAGGGCAGGACAAGGTCGTCGTTCTGGTGATGATGCCCAGCGAATCGAATCCTGGGCGGTGAAAGCGGCGGGGGGGTAGCCCAGACCTCTGATCTGCGCGCTTTGGCAGCGCTAGGCAAAGTACCCTGTACTCGGCCGGCAGACGGAGGGGTCTGGGAGAGGCTGCACACGTGCGCTAAATACCGGACCGTCTTTAGAGCCCGGCAGAATTCATCGTACATGAACCTTAATGAAGAGCCAGGAATCAGGTAGCAAAAGGTCTAGCGACGACGTTTTTGTCATCAAATGACTTGGAGAAAGAAGACCATACTGCCTATAGTCTTCTGGGGAGATATACGCATGAAGTCGACATATAGTTCATACTCATTTCGCTGTATCAAGCCTACTAAATAGAGCTCTTGCTTGAACGTAAGAGTACGCACAAGCAAGTCTCTCAGTCAATAGACAAGTAGTACGTAATTCAACGTTTTTTAATCTTGCAGCTTTATAAGTCATATTTGATAAGCCATTGGTTAATATAGGATCCGTCTGAAGCTAGACTGATTGATTATCCGCATCAATCTGGTGTTAGTGGGGCGAGATGCATCTGCAAGAGCTGCTACTAAATAAGCCGCAGACATGTAAGCACTGTAGACTTGCGGATGTGCGGTATGGCAGTTGGAATAAGCGATCTGTAAAACATACATTTTCGGTAGAAATTTGGCGATGTTACAAGGTGCCAGAAATGGGACATGGCACAGAAGTGCACATGGCTGGACAGACCCCTTGGGTACCCAAAACACGCGAGACTCGAATGCTACCTATGTACATACAAGCAGCCAAGTCGCATCTTGTCCGCTTATAAAATGTGACTGAACGCGTGAAGCTAAGCATTCGCTAATAACTTGGTGCTTTAATTGCATTATAGTGACATTGTCTGCATAAAAAGACGACATCGATAGTGCACACGTGTATATGGGCATACATCTATGTACATGTCCTCACCAGGAGACTTAAGTATAACAAAGAGTCAGTTGAACTATAGGCAGTCTTCTGGTGAATTTCGACGTGACTCATCTGAAATAGTCGCTCTACTTTGTTGAGTTCGAATGAGATAATGCCTTACACGTCGAAATATATTTTCACTGTTGCTGCCATCTGAAGCGCATAGCCTTATTTACATGTACCCGGCGCGTTCTGTAGCATGCCGTCTAGTTCGCTGGATACAGTCTCTACATACATGTATCGAGGCCATCTACCCTAAATTGGCATGTTTCTTTAATTCGTTTCTGCGACATTTCATTCGTCGTTTCTCATCAACTGGAGAAGGGACTGCTCTTCCCAAGTCATTGTTGTAGGCTTTCGAAGTCTCACCTAGCGCCTAAAGATGCAGTCAGATAGAAGGTACACATGCCATGAGAAATTAACCAGAGAAAAACCACAGGATTTACGTGGAGCACCATGGCCCAGAAAGCTAACTAGATGTACCATACCAGACCTCGACCATATAAGCATGTCAGATACAAATTCACCCCACCCCCATCCTATTTGAAGATTGCTACCTCATATCTCAGATTGTTCCAAGTCTATATTCTCCAATGGAATCGCTATTGGAGGGCCATGTTTGAAGCTGAGAGGATGAACTGGCTGAGCCGGACAGTAGGTTGAGCCGCAAGAACCCAAACATTTGTGATTACGCATTTAACTTTACTATTTGAATCGAAAAATCTCATAATTGATGAATTAATTACTAGCCTCTAGTCAATAGATCATTGTGTTAGATGTGAGTACTAGGCGATAGTTTACTGTCGCAGCTTTGTATAAGGCCAACGAGTTGATTTGGATCTGGACATAATGTAATCAGTTCAAAAACGGGTCAAGGAATTTCATGGCTAAACAATGACAGGAATGTAGATGCAATGAAATGGACTGCTATAAAGAGATGTAGATGTCCCTTGACTTGCAGCACTGGTCCTTTGCGTAGTACTAATACTGAACTCATCATAAGCTGATACTGCCTATAAATAGCGCGGCCCAAAGCAGGAGAGCATTGCAGCAGAAGTAGTCATATGTATGCCCCCTCAACGACCTGTTTCAGCTACTCGATTCATGAACCTAGCTCCTTTAAGCAGCTCCTGCTTAGATGCAGCATAGCGCACGGAGTCGCCGGCCGAACCATTCTTCTCGAACGAGTTTGTTTGGCTTTGAGCTAACAAGCACGTTTGTGGGCCTACATGGACTCAGAAATCTTGCATTGGATCCCTGCCAACCGGAGAATTATGTTGCGAGCACACGCAACAAACCTGGTTGGAGCACGGAGAGAGAAGATGACGAGGACGGTATAAATATAGAACATGGATTCCAAGCGAGCTGCTAAATCATCAATTTATTTATATACGGAACAAGCACATTAAGCTAGAAATATCATGCCGCTTGCGTGAGATGTGCATGTAAAGACTCTCCAACAGATATACAATGAAAACCCACTCTCAAGAGTAGTACGATTATCTCCCCCTTAAACAGCCATCTATAATGGTTCTGCCGCTTACTGGCGAGTCCAAAAGGCAACATCAGACCAGGTGACGCTCAGAGGGCCAGTGCCGCTGTCAGTGGTGTAAGCACCAATCTTGTCGTAGAAGCTTCCGGAGGGAGCATTGTCGTCACGGAAAGCCAACGCGCCGTTGACGTAGACCCTGAAGCTGTGGATGTCCGCGTTGTGGACGGTGTTGATGGTGACGCTCGAGCCGACCTTGGCAACGCCAGAAGCCAGAGTAGCACCGCCCTCGACGCTGTAGAGAGTGCCGTCGCTCTTGACGCCCAGGATGAAGTAGGGGCCCGTGCTGCCGTTGAACGTCTGCTTGATGGCGACCTTGTTGCCGCCAAACGAGTTGATCTTGAAGGTGCCGGCGAACTGGTGGACGCCAGTGCTGTAGTCGTCGTTGTAGCGGTTCTCGGCACGCAGGTGGCCGTTGGAGCAGCCAGAGCCGCTGGTGCTGCCGTTGGGGCTTGTGGGAATGCTGAAGGTGCTGCCGCTGGCGCTGCCGCCGGCGCAAGTCTGGAGCTGGAAGCCGGGATTGGCGGTTACCCAGTTGCCGCTCTCGAGAGGAGTGGCGGCCATGGCCACGGCGGCAGCCGAAAGACTGGCGAGGACACTCTTGACAAGCATTTTGAAGGCGATGTGGTGCTGGTGATATCAACGGGCTGGAGAGGCTTGAAGCTGGCTGTGAGGATGAACAGAGAGCGGACAGGATCAGCTGCCGATCCGGGGTCTTTTATACAAAAACGACCCTGTCCCAGCATCACGTACTTTTACGCCAACGTGTATGCCATGCGTGTAAGCCGCCCTCGATCCCATTCCAGCGAGGCAGCGGAGTCGATGGAATATTCCACCTATACGAGGCCTAGCCTTGCGGTGCCGTCGTTTGAGCTATACCAGCTGGGAAGGTCTCGAGTAGCAGCCCCTGGAACGGCTAGCGCCAATTGGCCCAGCATGGTGCCGGCGATCCGCCGCTCTTATTGACAGCGCCCTGGAGGATGCGGAATAGAACAGTCCTGAGCGAGAGGTGAGCAGTTATGTAAGCGTGTCATCAGCCGTGATTGGTGGAAGAAACAGCACAGCAGGTCGTGTCTACAGAGAACATTGAAGGCGTGTTGTTGTGACCTGCTCCATGTGGAGGAGACACGAGGAGATCATATTGCCTGTTTCTTCGCGGTGAGAACCTAAGATTGAGGTGGCGTCACTGCTGGGGGTTTGTTCTTGAGCTTCAACGGCCCCGCCAGCATATTGCACGTACGTACCTATTATTACCGAGCAGCTGTGGTGGATATCAGGAATGGCCAACGTCACGCAATGATACGATGAATCGCTTTGTAATAAATGGTGTAAGAGCAGAGGGCTACTACATACATGTAACTTATACGAAGTAATGGAAGGGATACCTGCTTCCGCGTAAGGCTACGCGTGCACTTACAACGCAAAAATACCAGCTGTCGTTGGATCGAGTCCTTGGATTAGGCATGGCTGGCTCTTGTACTACATGCTTTACGTGTTGTAATGCGTCTTTTCTGGAGGCCGTTTAATTGGTAGAAATGCGAAGTTGCTACGGGTTGCAATTACCTATTCTTAGTAGTATATACGTCATTCTATTCATGGCGACAAGTCGTGCTGTCTGCGTAAAGCTACTTTGTGTGAATCGGTGAATGGAACGCGTATATGCAGAGTGAAACTGACGCGCCAGTGAGTAATTGATGACCCAAGACTTTATTACAGTTTCAGCAACTGCAAATTGCTGATTGTAACATAGTATAGTATAAAGCTCGTATTTGGTACACTCTTGTTTAGTCTCCTACCTTTAGGTATCTAGCTTAAGACACATGTATTCTGGCACACGCCAAGACTCTAGTCGTCCAGCTCTGTTCGTAAACTCTCAATCCATGCTCGGCCACCAATCCCGTACCTGCATACAGCAGCAGCGCAGTGCCATTCTTGGCCCAAACCAGCACTTCTTGTATAAAATCCACCAGTCAGCAATGCTTATATCATGCTTTTGTCAGCCGGCACAGTTGTTCGCTCAAAAGACAACGGCTCATTCACCCAATTCTGTTCGTTCAGCCATACCGATCCGCATATTTACGAAGAGATGTCAAGTCCTGCAACTTTAGGGCGTTTTCCGAGCTTGCTCTGCCCCTAAGGCTTGGAACAGGGAGCTTATCTGCTCCTTGTAGGCGGATCTCAGTCGTTCGATTCTGTCCTTGAGCTGCTGAACTTCAATTTCTAGCTCTTCGTTCTTCTTCATCAAGCTTTCCTCCCTCCATGACGATAGTGATGAAGATGGCGGTGGCGGCGTCAACGGAGAAATATTTCGAATTGAACGTTTAGTAGGAGTAACCTTCTCCCGGAATTCGGCAATGCGTGTAGTCGTATCCGTATCAGGAGTCATCGGCGCAAAGGAATAAGAACTCCATCTCACTGGCGTCGAAGGGATGGCCAGCGTGGCCGCAAATTGTGGTTCTTCCGATTTCTGGGTAGCTCCTTGTGCATGATCAGAAGGGACTGCGTTTCTCTTCATTAGGCCGTACGAGACAGCCTTCATGTGTTGAATCGACTGGTTATGCTTCGTCAAGTTCACATAGTTTGCGAAATGGTGCTCATACTTGGGACACTCGGGTTCGCCGCATGCAAGGTTAAGCCGGTCAAACCGCTGTCGAATATCCGCTGTCGGTGACGTTGGATTAGACGCTGAGTTGAGCAACGGATACACGTGCTTCGTCGTGGTGATGTGCCGGTAAAAGCTTTGGCTCGTCTTTAGCTTTTCGCCGAAAAACGGACAGCCCTCGGCGGTACACCGAAACTCTCTGGCTGCCTCTTGTTCTGCCGTAATGTCCTCCGCAGACTTTCCGGACTTCCGAAGATCTTCAGAATGTTTGATGGCGTTTACGTGCGCGTGCGACCCTTGGTGTCTGCCGAATTCGCTGTCGGAGTAAAAAGCTTGCTGGTATCTACGGCATGACGGTTCGAGACACTGATAGACCTCTTCGTCTGAAGGCTCAGAAGCGGTATCTTCGCAGAGAATGTTTATGACCTCAGCGTAGTTAATCTTTCTGGCGAGAAGAGGGCTGTTAAGCTCCTCTGTTGGAAATAGTCGCTCATGACCGCTGATGCGCAAGGCGTGGGCGACAAACTCGGATCGATTGGTGAACAAGATGCCTTTCATTTCACATTGAGCTTCTTGGCAGATCCAATTGTAATGGCCAGTATTTCCAAAGTGCCTCTTGAGCGCCGGCATTGCGGCAAAACTTGCGTCACACTCTGAGCAGGAGTATGGCGGGCTGTGCCAGTCCTTGACATGAACTTGACATTCGTAAATAGTATCGAATGTGAAGCCATCGCATCCAATCTCAGGACAGGCAAACAGCCTGCCCCCTTCACCTTCTTTGCCATCTACATCGGCGGCAACTGAGTACCCTGACGGAAGGCTTTCTGTCATAGATTCATGCTGAGGCTGGTCCATTGAGTTTTCCATTGACAAGTTGAGAAATACCCGCTGAATACGACGAAAATTAAAGGTGTCGAGGGCTTCCACGGACGATGGAAGAGAGCATGATGCCGCGAAAGCAGTCGAAAGAAAGTTGAAGGCAGCACATCACGACTGCTTGGTTTCCAGCTTCCAGCTTCTGATTTCGAAGTGAGAGTAGAGCGAAAAAGACTCGGCTTGTGTGCTGAGAGTTAAATGCGACTTGAGAGCTTGGTGAATTTTCTGCATCAATGACTTGCATTTCAGGCTGACTTTTTCATCACTTTGGGGGCACCACTCACCCCTCTGCTGCCAACCAATTCAAGTGTATATCTACATGTGTTTACTTTGTAATCGGCATCGCATTGGTCAAAGTTACTGCAACTATGCCCCCAGCCATGCGCCCCCAGCGAATGCTCATGCGCATGAAAGACAATGTGTATCTCGAATGCTATCTTTGTCTTGTCTGTAGAATTTATGCGTAGATCACGGGCATTCTGGGAAGTATCTGACGACTGAACAACCACTTTGTCTTCATACTTTCCGCTAATTTGTCAACCAAAAAAATTGCATTAGTTACTAGGCAGTGCCATGACGAGGTTCATTTTAATCTCATCAAATCATCATCGCCTTGCTCGTTTCCGCGCCCATGATAACCCGTGGCGGTGCCGCTTAATGAAAGCTACTTGGCATCTAACCAAGCGTGAACGAATATACATGTACCTACAGGTATACACTGGTGAGATTCTCCAGCGTCAATATTATTTGCTCGTGGATATTACATTAGACACTTGGGGTCATCGATAAGGAGGATGCGGGAGATGTTACATCTATTCTACGCTACAATGAATGCATTTGGGACGCTGAGGGACTACGCTCATTTGAGAAAGATGTCGATGACCGATTGTATACGGGAATCAGTAATAGAGCGTGTCAATTTGTAGTTATTCGTGCCTTTAGGCAGTACATCCTATTAGCATCTATACAATCCATACCTACAGAGCCACTGCAGCCTTGGGATTGAGCTACGGCTATCAACTTCGAATCCTATGACCAAAGAGAGGAGAAAGTGGCTTTGGCCGTGGCTTTGGCAATTTATCACACGTGGTTGTTGAAAATGGGAAATTTTGAGCAATTGGAATTAAAATAGTTGTTGATTTATAGATAGATAAACCATAGCGTATTGTAATATATATATGAGATAAAAACATCGTAAAGTAAAATAGAATTTACAGTACATGTGTAATTCTTGCTCTAGCTTACATTTGCTTACCAGCAAATAGGGATGCCCCCTCTAAAACACCAGCTGTTCTGGCTGCTCTCCTCAGGCGGGTTCTTGTCTTGCGGCTGGTCGCAGTTCCGTTCGCAGTTTATTTCACCCTCTGAACCAACGCAGTCGTACTGAAGACAGAATATTAATAAGCTTTTTGTTCATTCCTGTCTGAATAGTTACACAAAAGTTGATTTACATATGTGCGCAAGCAAGTAGCATCATCTCCACCAGTAGAGCGAACAATAGCCACGGGGGTGGCAAGAGCCATGGGGAGGACGGCGAGAAGCATAGATAACTTCATGTTGAACAGTGTTTTTCGAATAAAGCTCGGTTGGTGACTTTGATAAGCAAGTGAGATGCGGGTTGAAGAGCATTCTATGGCGAGCAAAAGAGGCGCTCTTTTTAGAAAATAATGAGGCAATTGTACGGCTATGTTCAAATTGCAGTCTTACACCCGGAGACATTGATCAAAAATCTCTCATGTGGAAACACGCCTTGAAATTTGCCTTAGCTTCATCTGATCAATCTTTTCGCGCAGCTCACGCTCGTGCTCAATACAAGGCAGCATCTAGCACATGTCCAAGCGCTGCTCATCTTCCAGACTCCCATCCGGCTTCGAAGAGTTGCAACAGTAGGCTCATGCTCAAGTGGCTGTGGCAACAGCTTTCTCATGCCACCAGAATTTTGCGTATACATAATATAGAGCGTTGCTACTGTATTTTCCAACTTGCAACATGGTGTTCTAAGGACGTCAGTCAGCAAAGTAGGCTTGCCAGCGTCAAATCGGCCCCCTCATGGCTTCTGTCCGAAATTGTTTGCCAAATATGCATTGCCAACGTGACCACCAGTTCTATTCACCTAATGCAGACATGAGAATGAGCTCGGGACACCGTGTTCGCAGCGCTACGGCTCGCGTCACATTCATCTCAATGGACGGCGCTCTGCTGAAATGAAGGACCGCTATCTCTATCTCTATTCATTGGAAACAATTGACCCATTCTAGCGCCATGGTAGCCAAAAGAGGGTCGCGAACTTAGACTCTGTTGTTTTTACGCTGACCAGGAGATCGGAGTGGTTGGAGACCTGGAGGAGAAGCATGAGACGAGATTATTGGCTGTCGACGCACATACGGGGGTTCAATACAGGAAATTGAAGAGATTTGTTCGTTATGTGATAGAAGGTATTTATTTTCCCCCTCTTTTCACAGCCCGAGATCAATTGTGTTCCGAAAAGTTTCATCTGCACGGCTCGCTCGCGAAGCTGTGTGCGTGTAGTAGAAGCTTTCTGCACAGACCGCGATGCGGCTCATATTGTATGAATAAAACTTCTTCGGAGAACAATAAGAACAATGCCAAACGTGAGATGAATACAGCGACAGAAATAAATCAAGAAGGAGTCCGAAGCTCCAACCAGTGAGGAGTAAATGTTTGGTGAGAGGACAGCAGCTGTAGTTGCTAGTGTCAATCTGGATGCCTATCAAGAATCTGCAACAGATGATTCATGTGAGCTATTAGCGGGAAGAAAATCTCCTGTACAGTGTGTACTGTCTGGCACATCACAAAGATAGTTGCAAAGGACAGAGCTTTGCTGCCAAACAACTAGTAGGTATCTAACGCAATAGTTCCCTAGCTACAATTTGCGAGATACTAGCTTATCAGAAAATTACAGTGCTGTGTTCTACTCAGATACTTAAAGCCCAGAGAAGTTGTACATATATCTAAGAGTGATACAGTAACCTCTATAAATAGCGCAGGATTCCATATCACGCGGTATGAATAGCACTCGAAGAATGCAAATGTTCTCGTTCAACAGTTCATAGCGTCATTTTTTTTCTGTCTCTTCAGTTATTTCACTTCTAACAATAGCACAGGACCCTATGTTGGCTTTCCGAAACAAACTTCTTTTGATTGCTTCACACTTGTAACCCCATTAACAAGCATCATTATTTACAGAGTGGCCATTCATTCTACCAGACTATTCTGTGCTTTTGGAAAGGACTGTACTAAGCTCTCTCTTTATGTGAAGAAAGAGAGAGTAAAAGAGATAGAGCTTATGAGAATTGTTGCGGAAGTAAGTTAATAGCATAATACTTCTTAAATAGTAGGAAACAAACACATCTCGAATTAGGTGAAAAGTAGTGGCTTCAATATGGGTTTGAGCTAGAGCACTAAACAATGCTGAGTTTCAGTTCACATTTGTACAAAAGCATTTGTTATCTAAGGTATGCATGTACAAGTTGTCTGAAAAGCCACAGCCTATTACATAATCTTTCTCAGCTATGATCCTCATCCCTCATCGTTATACTGGTCAAGTCCTGAAACCTATGAATATGATGCCAGCAGTTGCCTTTAAACTCTGTGAATAGAGGCGATACATACACAATAAAGGAAAGGCTAAAGTTGAATAGATCCTCTCTCTGCGGGAGGAGAAACTCCTTGAGATATAGTTGAAACTAACGGCTAACGTCGGGGGGGGGGGGGGGGGGTTGCGAATTAAGTGTTGCCTCATTTTGCCTTAAGTATCACCCGCCAGCATTTACTATGTAAGCCGTTAAACCGTTTTGAAAGGATTGGGCTTGATATCCAATACATTTAGGTATATACTGGTATTGGCCATAGCTGCCAGATAGAAGTGTAATAGATGGAAGTGTCAACGAACACTTGAAGCCAGAGTCAGGCTAGAGGCGGCACAGACAAGCAAAGCGCAAAAACTATGGATAGCACTAGTAACACACATCCACCAAAGCATAGGCTGTAAAAGACTGGATGACAACAAATAGAACTAGAAACTAAATATTGTTGCCTAAGTTGTTCTTCAACTCAAACAGGCTCCCGTATTGGCAAAGACACCCGACACTTGGAGGTTATTGTTCAAAGACACGTATCTATCTCAACAGAGTATAGTGCATGAGTACATGTACTGGCACTAATCGCACGTAGTCAGGTGACCCCTTCAGGTACCTATAGTTACTTCCATAGTCCCAGGTGACAGTTAGTTTCAATGTTCTCGCCTCTCTCAACACATCTCAAGATCCATTCGCACATTGCTTGTATTAAGCCTGAGCTCAGCGCCTTTGGTACTTTTGATCTCTTCCTTCGTCCGATGATAAACAATAGTCAATGGTAGCTGCCTAAGTTCACCATGACATCTAAACCACTTCTGTATGGCTTCTGCCTAGTATTGCCGTATTGCCGGTTAGAGTCCCTCGCTAGCTGGTTTATCTCTGAGTATAAATAATATTGAAGCACTCCATCATTCAATTGCTCTAACTTATCAACTCAATCGTGTTCCTACTATTTCATCTGCCTCAGGAAAAAAAAAAAAGAATTACAACAATTATAAGAATTTACAAGGAAATCACAAAAACCATGGCGCCTTTCCAACAAGACGACAGATTCTTCACCAAAGATTGGACCATTAGCCTCCCCTCTCACCCAGAGCCGAGCCTTAAATTTATTCGCTTGACACCCGCCGAGACACCCGCATTTATTCGCTTCGCAGAACAAGCAGTCATCCCGCCGGCCCCAAAGAGCACCGAAGCCCCTCTTGCCGAAGCCCAGGCTCCACCACCAGTGGTCATTCCGGGAGAAAGGATGGAGAGGATGTACGCCGAGTCTCGGGCCCGCCACCACGCTCTCGACGTTTTTGTCTCATTAGAGGGCAAGTTTGTAGGTTGGGGAGGGGTATTTGAGATCACCGGCCCCGGCGAGAAGCCGAGTGTTGCAAACATTGGTATCAGACTAAGCCCCGAGGTCCGAGGAAAAGGACTGGGAAAGACGCTCATGCAAGTCATGCTGCGGTTGAGTAATGAACTGGATATCAATGTCATTGAGGCGGGCACTATGAAGCACAATTCCTCGATGAGAGCAGTGGCGAAGAGCGTCGGCCTCGTTGAGACGGAGGAGATTAAGGAGCTCCCTGGGCAGGGCGTGGTGGCTGAGATACTGTTCAAGGATATTGAGAGGGAGAAGTGGAGGGATCTTGATATGGTGGTTGAGTTTAAGGATCAGATTGCAAGTGGCTGACTGGGCGTCCTATGGGCCTATAATCCATGAACGAGGAACGTTTACATTACGTATCTGGTTTGGAACAGTTCTTTTGCTTCTCTTCTCCCACCTAGTTTCCTTTGTCTTCCTCATTGCTATCACGGAACCAGCAACGCATCCAGTTTCGTAGTTACAGTAAAAACCGAAATAAGTGTCAAGCGTTATAGTAAAGAATCTCCTTCCGCACGGATCGCGTTGTGGGACTTGTGGCTGGTACATTGCGAAGTTCAAACACTCACAGGTAGTGTTTTATTACGACCCAACAACTCTGCTGCAATACTGTACCATTTTATTTGAATTCACTTATGGCTCCAGTCCTGCTACCTAGGAATGCTATTGCCACTAAATCAAAAGTATAAAAACCCTAGGCCCTTTTGATACATCATTAGCAAAGGTAGTGAAGCTTAAGAGAGAATGCGATTATATACCTATTATCTTGTCTACTGTCTTTCAAGTGATTTTTCAAGACCCATACTGTGTCAATACTAAAAGTATTCCATACTGTATACTTTCAACAGCTTGAACAGGACTTTCGGAATAAAGTTTTGCCATGCTCCAAACTATATTCACCTTGGCTGATAAGCTGTCCGGGATTAAGCGAAAGGAACCATTACCTATCTCAAAATACCGTAAATTTAGAAATGGGTGTCACGGGCTTTCTTTGTTACCTACCTAATTAAGTAATCAAATGAGAGGCTTATATGAGAGGCTGCGTTGTAATGTACTGTTATACACTGCAGGTATTGCCCCTGCAAACAACGCGAGGATAAACAATCGTTTGGTCAGCATTGGCGGCTGGTGACTACATATAAATTAGTACCATCACCTTTTTCATTTCCTTATTTCTATGCTCTCTATAGTCAAAAGAGGCTCTCTATAAGACTGATTATAGCGCTGTCTTTGGAGACTTCTAAGCCAATATACCAGATCTGTCACATCACTGTATATGGCCGGGGAATTTGCAATAATACATGTATATCTGGAACTAGTGTTCTGAAGACTACCTAGGCTATTGCCGTCTCTCTGTCTCTGTGCCGCTACTTTCCACAAACTCCATCATGGATTAAGAAAAAAGGCGCCAATGGCGCGGACCTATGAGCGGCCGGATATGAGGATTACGGACAATCTCTTTGAACTTGATGCCGACGCCATGTATGCATTGATGGCTATGAATGGAATTGGCCTGCCCAGGATAAATGTTTAGCGGCCTGGAAAGATGAATGCGGCGTTTGAGAAAGAGAAGATGATTATGAAGCCAAGTACATGTATAATATATTTCCAGGCACCTTCATTAATAATGCTGGCCATATGCCCAAATCCTGAAAGTTTTATTCCAAATTGCCGAATTTGATGAGTGGTAAATGTCTCTGGCACCGTCCTTGTAACCTAAACCTACCTCCAAATACCGTGAAGTTAAGGCTTCCAGGACCTGTCCCTGTATTATCACTATTTTCAATACTATTGCTGTATATTCACTCGGTATCCCCTCCCTTAGCGTGAATGGCCCGACTGGTAATTTCACAGTTATTCGGCCGAGTTTGATATTTCATTTCCGTAATTTGAGTCTTGGGTGGGAGATATATGTAACTATTATAGAACTATGCAGGTACGGTGTTCTCTTGAATATTTATTTTAAATTGTGGTGGTTTTGGAGGGACAGGTGGCGCGCTGGTGCTTCTTATATAGCCCAGCTGGAAAGGACGTTCGCCCCTCCGGCCCCGCCAATGAGGATTGCTTGGCGCACTATTGGTTAGGCCCACTTTGTAGCTTATAAGTCGGAACAAAGGCTTGAGAGTCGCGAGGGACGCGGCAGTAATGCCTACGCCGACTTCGACGGTGCTCCAATTTGCAATGTCGGCGGTGGCAACTAGCGAAATGACGTTAATTTGGATGAAAGGGAAACCGCCTGATCTGGGTTAGGCTTACATAGAAAGTTCCGACCTTCTGATAGAGTATTAACATACTTGTATCGGACAAGCGTGGCTGTGCTCGCACTAAATGACTTCATTAGCTACCCTGGTCGCTTGGTCTGCAATCAACTCTCTTCTGACTGAAAGACTTACATGGCAGCAAAACTTAGAAGAACAATGACCAGAATCTTGGTCTTCAGCGGCATCTTCAACGACCAAACAATAAAAGCAGGCAAGATTCCGAAAGTCCAATCTGCAATACAGTTCAAACATGAACCAACATAGTTCATGATGATGATGGTTCTTTCTGGAATGCAGTAGCCTTCAATCCCAGGATATATTTCCCAATATGCGGAGATTGGGTTGCATTGAAACACGCCAATGAAGAAGAAGGCGATACTAAAGACCACTGTTGACGCTATGGAGAGCCGAAGGATCCATATATGCTTGATATCGATTGCTACGCGTAATAAGAAAAATCCAACGGATACCTTCACCACGCAGGTGCAGAAGACGTAGAATAATTCGCACACATACCACGTCTAATCATGTCAGCTATCCTTGACAGCATCCTCTCGATCTGCAATATAAAGCAATGACATACCAGAAGCGCATTTCTATTATCACTGGCACTTAACATATCACGGCTTTTCCCGGTCCCGTATGAGATACCGACGTGCTGAGAGATGAGGTATGCGGTAAATGCGAGCTGTGATCCATGTCAGACGTATTCTAAGCAGATTGGGCCACCAGTGGCAGGCACAACGTACCCAAGAGACGACCATGAGGTGGTCGTCGATCCCAAACGATCGTACAATCCATCCTCGACAATAGACGCGAAGAGAAACGGCAATCGTAGTAACTGTCATAAAAACAATATTGAGAGCGAGTATCTGGCCGCTCCGGTCCTCCATAGTGTTGCGAAGACAAAACAAAATTATCGCGAAAAGAATTATTGGCGCAGCTGAGGGAAAGTATAATGCATTGCTTAAATACTAATGATTGCTGGTGTAGCTCCAAACCGGTGGAACACACAACTCGCTGGGTTCTCAAGAGAGGGGGGCACACAGGGGCTTTAATGCCAAGTGAGAGTGTCAATTAGCCCATCGCGGGGATTGTGGAGTATTTATCAAGCTAGATATATTATGAGGTTGTATCATAGTCAAAGACGCACTAGTTGGTAACTAATGAATCGCAAAAACTAGCTTACTCAAGAAGTATCAAACTAGTGACGTATCAACGGGCGCAAGTCCATGTCATATATATAGGCTCTAGTGCTTTGCTAGATCGCTGCGGAAATATTTGCATGTCTAAAGTCAACCTGCCAATTACATTGCTTGGTTTATTTCCAGATTGCAGCTTACAGTATGTAACAATAGCTGATATATAAAATATATATTTGGGATAGATAACATCAATGGGCCACCAGCGGCGATATAATGCCCCTATTATAGATGACAAACCGTCGGTTTTCTAGCTAGGATAACTAGTCAATTAGATGACACAAGAGACAATACCAGGGGGAACAAGTGGCAATTGTAGCTTTGTTCTCTCATGTGCCAGCGACGGCCCCACGCGGCAGAAACGGTTTCAGAAGCTTAGCTTCTCGCTCTGTTTGCCTTGAGGAAGCTTAGTGTCTCTAGTAGCCGCTCGGGATCGTTTCCGCGATGTTGGAGAGAGTCAGGTCTTGGCTAGCTTTATGCCACTAAGTTGGCTCATTGGTGGCATCACAAATTCCATCGTCGCCCAGATGCAGTGCTGTCGATCTCAAAGGGTCATAGGTACCTAACTAGGTAGTTGCCCTATTTAGCAACAGCAGCAATCTCTAAGCCTACAAGCGAAGATTGAATGCAACGCCCCCGAAATTGGCGCCTCTAATATATATGGCGGCGTCAGGGGCAAATGCAGACTAAATGTCGTCCACCACACCATCTCGAAAGTCTAGATGCTTTCATATATGTAAGAGACCTACCACATTCCCATCGAAAAAAGTCTAGGGCCTCCATGGTGTTGTCTTAAGCTGACAAAAGCTGGAATTTGCAGCCTGCCTCCCAGCTGCCATTGCCTCTCGCCCTCAAAAGGCATCCTCAAACAAATCCGCCAGCCAGCACCTAGGCAGTTCTCCACGCAAACAAAAATAAAGCAAAAAAGGAAGAAAAAGGGCCGTGCCGCTGCTTTAGAGACAGCGCTCCACAAGCCCTTTGAAAAACACCAGACTACTACTCCAAGTGGTGCACCATAAGGCTTTACGGATACTGCTGTTAAATTAAGCGAAGAGAAGTGGGGTCTGTAGGCTTTACCTAGGTATTCATGAAAGAAAAGTGGAGGTACTTCCATCTTTACCCCGCATTTTACCCAGCCTGGATCATGTGATAACTGCGTTCTGTGTAGCTCGCTGACAAAGAAATGTACTATCAAAAGGTCGCACTGTCGTGGTGGGGTTGCTCCTGTTATAGCAAGGCTCCCTAAATTACGATCAAGCCTAATCAGCGCACTGTATAAGCCACATCGCGCCACAAGAATGGTCTGTGCTCAATTTCTTTTTAACAACTGAAAAATGCGGACACTTCTTTCGGTCGCTACTGTACAGCTTGAGATAGTCTCGCTCTGGCCTCAGGCCAGTATAACTATACTACTGTAGTAGCAAGCATGCTTTATATCAACTGACATTCTATTTTAGCTGCTCTCAGGCTACAACACACAGACCAATTACCTTATTCACTCTGCTGGCAAGTCGCCTGCTGATTTGAGAGTTCTCAGTAACTATGTATTTAATGAGACACACTCAGATGAAGATATACTAGACAACCGACTAATCATAGTCAGCTGGTTGGATTAAAGTTTTAATGGCGATCTTTTATAGATTCATATAACATAGCAACCCGGGCTGGTAATAATTTCCTATCATTCGTCGCGACGAATACTAAGAGCTCGGATAAGACTCTCCGTTCCATCTACGGATTGTAGAGGGCAAGAATATATCTATGCTAAAACAGCTTCGTCTAGTCATAGATGGAAATGTTCACGAATTAAATTAAAGGCAGCGACACCAATATGGCGGTCCAATAGGAGGGGGCTTAGGGTACTCCAGAGCAGCTACAGCAGAAGTCTTGCAGTAACATAGGAGGCACCGACGTCTAGCTAGAATTTGAGACACTTGAAGTCAAAGCACCCGTTATCTTTTCGCTCTTTGGCACGTGGGGAGTTTCCCCACGCCGACGTTATACATTCACCATGACTTTCAGCGGTAGAAGATGTCCCAGCGTGAAACCATCCGAGCTAGGCATGTTTGCTTAAACACAGACCCCGACTTGGTCCTAACTCACAATCGTCTACAAGACGAGAATAAGTTAATGCCTCATCAACCCACTTCTTCAATACATTGATCTACATCTCCCCGCAAAGCTTGAATCGCTAAGCAGCCTGTCCTTCGTACAATGGTGTAAGTATGCAGCAGACGTGCACAAGATAATGAACACGGACTTTCACAACCGAGGTTGTACTGTATCTATCGCTCTCAGAATATTGAAATATTGCGTCATTTTGAACCTCCCTTTTCACTGCATAGACAACCTATATTCATCCAGTATATATTTGCCTTCTAAGCCCTGCCTTCTGAACAAGATATCCATCACTCTTGCACATTAGCACTAAGCTTCTCAACTATAACAAACCCTGTTACTTGAATCGGCAACGTGAAGATATTTACCAATAACTCAAAATGAAGTTCTCTATTGTCCTTGCCCTCCTCCCTGTGGCTCTTGCCGCCCCCGCGAGTTCTCCGATTACGGGATGGAATCCATTTATTAGCAGCTATAACTGGGGCTGCTGGTCTGACTACGTGAGTTGTCTCTCTTTTGCAATTTCCCAGTTTTTCTTGGAAGAAACAAATATGGAAGAGATATTAATGCTTCAGCTTTAGTATTCATGCATCGCAGACAATGGCAAAGACAATTGCACAAATAGCTGTTCGTGCAAGGGCATTTTTGGGCGTTGTGACCCAGAGGAGGGGCCATTTCCCCAAGATATATAGAATATATATTTGTTATATTCTCAAGAGCAGGATTTAAACAACTCAAACACATTCATTCATTTCTTTATCTGAATTAAATGTTTATATACATATATACATACAAGACTACTCGATCCAAAGATCCCGCCGACTACGTCATTCTCGCTCGCGTAACTAAACGTATACCCATAGCACTTTTGGATGAAAATGTGTTCCATCATATTTCACACTTCATTTTCCTCTCTTGTCGCTGGGTACTCTCATGTAATAACGAGAACAGTCACTTATTCAACCTTGAGAGCCGACAGGAGCATTAGCAGCTGAGGTTGCGTCGCTCCCACTTCTCATGCCTACGTGAATAGCATTGAGAGCAGTTTTCGGAATTATTACAGGACATTGAGGTCGAAGTAGGATCGTAAACTCGCTGTTTTGCTGCAATGAATGCATAGCTGTATATACACAGTTGATAGGATATACCCAGGCAACGGGGGCAGAAGCCACGAGGAAATAGCCTACAATGATAAAGAAAGTGGCTACTATATTCCAAACATATATGTTAGGAAAGCTATCGAAGATGGAAGAAAAAAATCGCAATCAAAGAAAATATGCTTCGCTCGGGAGCTCGCAAGTTAAATTTGCAACTCGCTACAAAAGCATCTTGGCATAAATATAATCACCATAAAAGCCTGTTGACAAATGTATGTATAACTCTAGCAGCAGTCAAATTTAATTGTAGATTGTCCAAAGTAGCTACAGTAGAAGGCGTAATGGGTGTCGCGGTGTCGGTACATAAGATAAATAAGGATACCCACATTGAGTCTGAAAGTAGTTTAGCGCCCAAACCCCTTTGTACCTCCAAGTCGTTACCAGAGGAC